TCGGAAAAGATCATGCGACCGGATTGGCGGCAGACCCGACTGCCTGACGGCGATTGGAGGATGCCCCACTTCAGCGCGTGCCAACTCTAAAGTCAACTCTCCTGCCAAAGTCAACTCTCAGTCCACTGAGGACGTTCGAGCTTAATGTATAAAAGGTAAGTAAATTAATTTTTGAAAATTGTGTGCTATGTTATATATATTGCTATATATATATATATATATATATATATATATATATATGGGACGTTCCACGTCAACAAGGACAGGCTTCTGCCCAAAAATGGTTTTGACGGATTTCAATGTTCTAGGGATTAAAAAATTCGTAAATTTCTATACTTTCGAATGCCGAGTGGCGTTTTTCAAAATTTTAAATGGCGGCTCCATTATGGCGCATAAATGGCAGTAAGTTTGAAAATTTAAAAATAAATTTGTGAATTAAACGTCTTAAAGAATTCCATTCAATCTAAAACACCTCATACAACAGTTTTTGTGGTCGCTGAATGCAAATATAATGTTAGTTTTCCAAAATTCAAAATGTCGGTAAAAATTTTTAAAATTGATCAAAATGGCTTAAAACTTATTTCTCAGGGGTTTTTTGGGTCACTTATTATGAATTTAAAGTTATTTTTAATAAATAAGCAAAAATAAAATAAATTTTAAAATGGTGGATCCAAAATGGCGGACAAATTTTTTTAAAAACGCTCGAAATTAATTGAAACTCTATTCTAGAGGGTTTTCTTGGCCGCTAATTACGAATTTAAAGTTATTTTTAATAAATAAGCAAAAATAAAATAAATTCCAAAATGGCGAATCCAAAATGGCGGACAAATTTTTAAAAACGCTCGAAATTAATTGAAATTCTATTCTAAGGGGTTTTCATGGCCGCTGATTACGAATTTAATGTTATTTTTATTAAATAAGCAAAAATAAAATAAATTCCAAAATGGCGAATACAAAATGGCGGACAAATTTTTAAAAACGCTCGAAAATGATTGAAACTCTTTCCTAGGGAGTTTTCCTGGCCGCTGATTACAAATTTAAAGTTATTTTTAATAAATAAGCAAACATAAAATAAATTGCAAAATGGCGGACAAAGATTTTAAAAACGACCAAAAATGATTGAATCTCTATTCTAGGTGGTTTTTCTTGCCGAACGTAAAAATGAAAACAAAGAGAGCCGTACATAGTATTTTATGCATGTACATCTTTCTTTGGAACTTGAAATTTTTAAAAATTAATAATTGTCGAATAGTATTATTAATAATAGAATATAATGAAATTAATTAATAATAAATTATTGATAAACAAAAAAAAATACAAATTTATTTTTCCGGTTATGTATATGAAGTACATCGGGCACAAAGATCCTTTTAGGTATACGTTACTGACAGACACTGCAGAACCTCACTATGCTCTCTACTTTTCCTAGTTTGCAACCGAAGGAAACAGTCTTATCGAACCGGAGCTTGTCGATCTGGCTTCAATTGTAATTTAATGATTTCACATATTAATAATAAAATAATGGTAATTAAATTTTTTTAATAATATTGCCAGTCACAAAGTAAACCTATTGATCCAGTTTTATTCCACAATTAGTCGCTTCTTATATGACCATATATGGACATGTTCTAGAAATCATGTGACTCGGGCGGACCAATCAGCGCGTTGCTGGGTCCTACCACGCCGCGTATCCCCACCACTGTAAAAACTATCCTAGCTCGTTCACATTATTTTGGCTTTAATTTAAACTACAATCAGTCTTTTTCAGGACTACAAGTTAGCATAATTCCAAAATCGTTAATTTAAACTACAATCAGTCGTTTTCAGGACTACCAGTTTGCATAATTCCAAAATCTTCAATTTAAAATACAATCAGTCCTTTTCGGGAATACCGAAAAGTTTTAATTAATCTCAAGCGTTTTTTAAATTTTTGTCCGCCATTTTGGAATTTATTTTATGTTTGCTTATTTATTAAAAATAACTTTAAATTCGTAATCAGCGGCCAGGAAAACTCCCTAGGAAAGAGTTTCAATCATTTTCGAGCGTTTTTAAAAAAATTTGTCCGCCATTTTGGATCTGCCATTTTGGAATTTATTTTATTTTTGCTTATTTAATAAAAATAACATTAAATTCGTAATCAGCGGCCATGAAAACCCCTTCGAATAGAATTTCAATTAATTTCGAGCGTTTTTAAAAATTTGTCCGCCATTTTGTATTCGCCATTTTGGAATTTATTTTATTTTTGCTTATTTATTAAAAATAACTTTAAATTCGTAATTAGCGGCCAAGAAAACCCTCTAGAATAGAGTTTCAATTAATTTCGAGCGTTTTTAAAAAAGTTTGTCCGCCATTTTGGATCCACCATTTTAAAATTTATTTTATTTTTGCTTATTTATTAAAAATAACTTTAAATTCATAATAAGTGACCCAAAAAACCCCTGAGAAATAAGTTTTAAGCCATTTTGATCAATTTTAAAAATTTTTACCGCCATTTTGAATTCGCCATTTTGAATTTTGGAAAACTAACATTATATTTGCATTCAGCGACCACAAAAACTGTTGTATGAGGTGTTTTAGATTGAATGGAATTCTTTAAGACGTTTAATTCACAAATTTATTTTTAAATTTTCAAACTTACTGCCATTTATGCGCCATAATGGAGCCGCCATTTAAAATTTTGAAAAACGCCACTCGGCATTCGAAAGTATAGAAATTTACGAATTTTTTAATCCCTAGAACATTGAAATCCGTCAAAACCATTTTTGGGCAGAAGCCTGTCCTTGTTGACGTGGAACGTCCCATATATATATTTCTCATAGCGCAGCCGTTACTATTTAGCGCAGCCAGTTTACAATTTTTGTTATTGCTAGATCATATTTTATATATTTTCTTCTTTTAAATGTGTTTTTTTTCTCTTACAGGCGATACGATCATTATAATATTAATTATATATTGTGACGCGGTATTTTATGCTCGTCACAATATTCCTTAATTTTTTTATAGATAAATAGTAAAAAAAATATTCCAGGGTGGGAATCACCATCATTTCTAAAAAAAAAAACAAATAAAAATCAGTATGTTGTCAAAAGTAATAAAATAACAAGAGAATTGTAAAAATTATAAATATTAAATTAAGCAATAGTTGAATAAAATTATATATACCTGCTGACTCGCCAGATCGATTTAACGGAAACAGTAAATTGTTGTCCACATTATCATTTTATTATTTTTCTATTTCATGAAAAATGGACATTAATCGGAGTAATTCTCCGATTCAACAAAATGAGTCAGTTTTTCCATATCATTAATAATGTTTGACGTACCACAAGGGAAGTGCTTCCTGGTGTATATATTTGGAAGAGATTCCCGAATATTCAAGAGCACCAGGAAGACGAATATTCATTTGTATACTCAGCTGTCACAACATTGGGAGCGGCCATTTTGGATAGAGAGCGCTACGATGCGCTGTGGCACGGTAGCGTTCTACTTTACCCTCCGGATTCATGAAATAAAGAAAAAGTTGTAATTAATTACTTTCACCGGGACTCACCTCTAAAAAGAAAGCGCACAAAGAGACGCCGACTAGCGTGACAGGTCAGCCATTTTTAGTTGTTATGTCCCGAGCTAAAGGCGAGGGTGGTTTTATTAAATGAATAATAAAAGGGAGGATGTTTGCTGATTAGTCAAGTTGGTAAGACTTGACATTTATTTTTAAGTGTGGATTCGTTTGACTTTGAAAGAACTACGGGTTCTCGTTAAATAATTATATGCATATTCCTTTTTATGTAGTATTTATTAACAATTAAAATTTATAAACAATTGATTTTACTTACAATTTTGAAAGATTTGTGTTAATGAAGTTTACAATGACAGGATGCAACCAGTTGTACGTAGCCGCTTCACAGGTTGTACAATGATATAAGATTTTCAGTTCGTTTTTAGACACTTTTAGCACTAAAAACAACTATTTGAACAGTTATTTTACAAACTCTAAGTGTTCTTTCTGACACTGTACCTTGATACAAAAGAAAACTTGTTTTCTTAGTGTTTAGAAAGAACTTGCACTAATTTTATAAATTTAAATTAGAAAGAGAATAATTAAATGAACTGTTATACGACGAAAGTATTAATTGAATTGAAGGGTAGTGCAAATTATCTCCTTACAGAAAACAATTTAGCTTTTGTATAACACTGATTCTAACAACTCAACTAAACGATCGAAGGGCCGACTCAACGATACCGTTCGGGCAGAAGCTCACCGGAGTATTTTGACGACTGTTGCTAAGAAAACAGGGGTTTATATACTATAATTTGTTTGTGAAAATTTGTAATAATTACACACTGATAAAAATTTGTAAGAAGCCTGTGTCGGCGTAAATTTGTAAGAAGCATGTGTCGGCGTAAATTTGTAAGAAGCATGTGTCGGCGTAATTTTGTAAGGAGCACGTGCCTTTTATTACACTATTCATGTACATTATTTATTAATAAGATTTTAATAATTATCAACAATGGTTTATTAGCTTTATCGTTTTCTAATAATTGTTTTATCAATAATTGTTCTACTTTTATTGATTATACGTTAAAAGGTATTACAACTAATTATTTTATTTATTAACTACTTATTAATACTTAATGCACTTTAAGAATAGTTTAATGTTAATTCTTCTCTTTACATAGATCTAATTAATCTTTTAATTGATTATTTATAATTTTAACATTTATTTTGTCTCTTTTGTTTAAATATATTATCCATTACAGATATACAACTCAATGATAATTTACCAACAGACAATTAGTCATCTTATAGCGACAGTTGATCTCTTATCATGAGTAATATAAGTAGGTAATTAACCGACTGTTGTTTCTCGTTTCATTAGATCTTGGTCGAAACTATAATCAATTATCTTATGTGAAACTCACATAAGGTAATGTAGAGTGTTATATTTTCTTATATATTTAAATATAGGTGTATATACATGCTTAATTAATTTCATTAACAATACTTTAATTTATTTTAACTTATGATACATATTTTACTATTATTGTTTTCTTTTATATATATATATATATACATACATACATACACACATATATAATAATAAAATTTTATGCCGTGGAATAAAAAGTTATATCTCGGGATGTAACAGTCCTCCCTCCTTAAATTATTTATCGTCTCGATAAATTGTTTATGTTAAATTAATTTGTTTTGTTACAATAAGGTTTGAACAATTAAAGATACATAATAGATAAGGAATTGCAGACTCTATGATTCTCGTATGTTTTGAAATGTATACAGTGTAGTGTCTAAGTGTTATGTGTAACCTTATCCTTAAGGTAAGTAGTAATGTATATTCTGTAACCTTTGGCTGATTTGCACGTTTACGAATTTTTGTAATTCTTCATCGCTGTCAATTTTTTTGTCCTGGTTTGTCACGTACGCATAGGGTGTGTATTCAGTATTGTTTGTGCAATCTCTTTGTAAAGATGTCGGAAAGCTGTTCATCAACAACTTCAACAGTTTTGTGGAGGGATATTGATAGTGGGGATGTTCCCTTGGATCTGTCTGTTTGTACTCCATCTTCTAATAGTTAGTATTAATTGGATTTTCTTTAATTAATGACTGCATTAATTATGAGTGAATCATTAAGCGTTTGGACCGAAGAAGATAGTGTTTTGTTTCTAAATTCTGTTCCATTTCTTTTTGATTCAGTTAATTCAAGTGCCTCGAATTTTGAGGATTTTGTCAATAATTTCGATCTTGAACCTTTTAATGATGCGATTAATCCTCAGCTTTCCAATCTTGAACCCTTTAATGATGCGATTAATCCTCAGTTTTCCAATCTTGTGAGTCATGAGGACTCCGTGCCTAGGTGGAAAGCTATTTCCCTCAGATTATCTCGTGTTGAAGATAGATTAGGCCTCTTTTACGTGGCTTTTTGGAGATCGACAGCAGAAACTGCTGTCGATCGTATGACCGTTTTCTGTCGAGACAAACTAAACTTAACAGTGACAATTAATGACTTTAAAGTTGTTCAAAAACTAGACCATCGACGTCGCGGAGTTTTATTACAAGTTTCGTCTCGTGAACTACGTGAATTAATTATAGCTAATAGTTCTTTGTTTATTGAGGAGGAACTGAATGTGGCGCGCGAATAATAATTGTCTTTTCTCTTTTCTTTTTATGTTGCAGCCAATCTAGTTGCAGAACATCCATATGAATTGAATCATTTCCTTTATAAAGTTAACGCATTGTCAGTTTCATTATTGCATAATATGCAAGTGGTGGACAACATCGAGAGACTTACGTTGGTCGATGAAAAGAGAAAAAGGGGTCGCCCTAGTAAAAAGGCTCAACAGCGATACAAAAATTTGGAATTAATACGTTTATCACAGCTGGAGCAAGCAAAAAAAGAAAGCATGGAGGAAGCTTTTGAGTTAAATAGATCCATTACTAATTTTATGTGGGGTTTTCCTAGAGTCATAGATTCCTTGACTTCGTCTTCAAATACGGAAAGGTAATTAGTTGAATTTCGCAAAATTTGTTTATATACAATTGTATCTATTTCTTTTTCTGTAAGATAATCTTCTTCTCTTTTTTTTTTTTTTTTTTTTGATTTTGTTCTCAGTGCTGGTCCTTCAGATGTTAAAATCTGTTCCTGTGGTCGAATTTATCCACCAACATATCTGTATGGAAACTGTCTTTGTGGAGAATTATTTGCCTTCAACTCAGAGGATGATTAATTTTTGTGCTTTTTCTCACATACATATTACACAACGCAATATTTACACAATTTACACATTTATATGATATCGTTGATGTTAAAATAAAACATTTATATCCTTCTGTACTTCTTGTTTCTCTTATTTGTTTACCCCAAAATATTATAATTAATGTCATTCAATTGTAAAACTTTATAATAATTTATTCATAATAGTAATTATTTTGTAATTTTAATTTTTAAAGAAAAAGAAGGAATAAGAAATTTTTATATATTTGAGTTAGAGCATGCGCACTTAGTTTTATTTTGATTCATACATATATACACATACATATATATATACATATACATATATATACATACATCAATCTCTTAATATATCTATATATTAATATATTTTGTTTTGATCAAGATTGAATTTTTTAGTTTTAATTTAATGATTTATAATTTTTATGTTTACTTATAAGTGGTTTTATCAGTTATACGTTATTTAAGGTTAACTAATAATTTCAATCATGATTTATTTTTATTAAGTATAGTTCACTGAATAATATTGTGACTATCTTGAACGGTTCTTATTAGATTGTATTTCTGACGTATAGTATACAGCGCTGAAGTATCGAATGACGGTCGAGTCGATCGATAGTTGCGTCGATATACGGTCTGGACACGTTCGAATGACGTACCAGGTCGGTGCGCGTGAAGCGGTTGGGTTGCTACGGTGCGAACGGGGAGTGAGATAAAGAGTACGCGATACATGGTTTCGAGCGCGAGAGGATCGATGGTTGCGGTCGATATACGGATGACGTCAAAAACCTTTGCTGTAGCGTCTATGTTGTAATTGAGGCTTTCTTTAAGAGTAAAACATGATATTTTTTTTTTTTTTTTTTTTTTTTTTTTTTTTTTTTGAAATTTTGAAATTTTTGTGGCCAGTCCTCCCTCCTTAAAACTTCCATTGTCCTCAATGGTTTTTAGATATGGGACGGGTTATTTGATCTGCGTCTCCTCATCGAAATTACTTTGTAGCAAATATATAGGTTTTTAATAACTATTATTGCTAATAATAATAATAGTAGTTTAAAAGCAACGGAAATGTAATCCATTGTCTCAGAGATGGAACCCAGGATTGGAATATTCATCTGTGGAGTGAAAAAATTTTTTTTTTTTATTAATATCTTGTTTTTGAAATTGTGTCATATAAGGAATTTTAAAATTTTTATCTTTCTAGGGACTTTCAAATATTATAGTTAATTGTAATTAATTATTGTTTATTGTTAGTAGTATTGTTTGATTCGGATTTTTATATAATTCGCTGTGCTAATTTATCGATATAAATATCTTTCGATATATCGATGAGTGATATCTAAAGATTTATTCACTTTTGGTTCTTTTTATGAATTTTGTCCTTATTAATTATCTTTTTATTAATAATTTATTTATTCTGTTGTTAATTAAATTATCTAATTGTTATTAAATAGAGAACTTAATTATTTACTAGCTTATTTGATGAAAGAATTCGAACGATATATCGATCGATATATCGATAGATATATTGAATTAAGTACTAGTAGTGAAGTCGATAATTTAATTAATTAATTGTATTAATAATTGATTATTAATTATATGCTTTTATTATTAGTGTTATTTTATTATTAACAACTTGTAAAATTTTTTTTTTTTTTTTTTTTTTAAATTTTTTTTTTTTTTTTTTTTTTTTTTTTTTTTTTTTTTTTTTTTTTTTTTTTAATAAAGAGGAAAGAAGAAGGCGACCTCCAAATCCCCTTCCTTCATTTTCTTTCGTCTTTCTTTTTCTTTCTCTCTTTTTTTTTTTTGATTATATAATTTTTATTGTTTTGAAATTTAATATGGTGATTACATTGTTATATAACTAATTATGATATTTATTGTTATTTGCATATATATATATACATGTATATATCTAATAGTTTATTTTAGTGTTATATGGTATTAAATAATTTATTTATAATAATATAATATTTAGAGATTATGCTAATGATAATTAATATTTTCATGATTTTTTATTTAATTATAATTAGGTATATATGCATATATATGTACATTTGAAAAAATTTTTTTTTTTTTTTTTTTTTTTTTTTTTTTTACTAGTTGCCATTCTTTGTTGTAATTTTAACATTAATTAATCAAAGAAAGCTTCTGGGAAATCCCAGGAATCTTTTTTTTGTTCCGTTTTCGCGGATTCTGGAATCTCCCAGTTTTCTTGTTTTAGAGTAATTGGTTTTCCAGGGATTTCCCAGAATTCATCATTATTTATTAATTTTGTATGAGAGTTTGGGAATAATTTTTTATTCCTGAAGGGACCGTTACATTGTGTTTTAACATGACCTCTTTGATAGCATAGTTCACAGCAGTTAGTCCATTTGAATAATTTGATTTTTAAAATTGAAGTGTCTTCTTGACACATGACATAAGTTTTTCCTTTGGAATTTGGTTCTTTTTCTTCTTCAGAGAAATAATAAGTTCTGTTTAGAAGTTTTAATATTTTACGCGCAGTGGTGTGTTCACCATCTTTTATTTTTCTCATGTTTCTAGTACTTGCTGTGAAAACATTGTTATTAATTAGATCAGTAACTACACATTCTACATCATATCGTCTGTTATTAGGGGGACCTGTTACATGTTTAATTGAATATTTAGGTTTATTAAGGTTGTATTCAGAGGCCAGTTCTTCGAGAATTCCTTTAGGAAATTCTATTTCATCGATGTTTCCCTTTGGGAATATATCAATTAAGATTAATTCTCCTTGTAGGGGAGGTGATGTTAATACCATTTCTGCCATCTAAAAACATAAAATTGTGTTATTATTCTTATTCGTAAGCAAGCTTTAGTTTGTCTATGTGTTTTTGAAATCTTTGACCCTCATTGGTGATTAAAATTGCGGTATGTTTGTCTAAGATATCCACAATTTCGTAAGGTCCGTGATAATATGGCTCGAATTTACTTTTCTTGACTTCCCTTAGGACATAAGCTTTATCTCCTATTTTTCCTAAAAAGGGTTTAAGTTTCCTATCGTAATTTTCTTTTGAATTTAATTTAGATTGAATGAGATTTTTCGCAGCCATGTTTTTTATTTCCGTTAATCTAGATATTAATTCTACTAAATATGAACCGTACGTTTCTAGTTTTTCTTCTGGGGGAAAGGAGCTAGGGGTTCTGGCTGTTTTTCCAAATACTAATTCGAAAGGAGTGAAGTTTGTTGCCTCATGAACGGATGTGTTATAGGCGAACATGCAAAATGGTAGTAGTTTGTCCCAATCGTCATAATTTTTGGAATATTGTTTTAGAAAATCTATAAGGACTATGTGGCTTCTTTCTAAGCTGCCGTTTGTTTGAGGTCTATATCCTGAAGTTGTTACTTGTTGTACTCCAAAGATTTTTGATAATTTTCTCATTAGTTTACTTATGAATCCTCCTCCTTTATCCGTTAGAATTGTTTTAGGGGCTCCGTATTTAGAGAATAATTCTGCAGCTACTGCGTGTGCTATTGTTGTAGTTGAAACATCAGGGATTGCTACTGCCATACAATATTTTGATAAATGATCCTGCATGGTAAGTATGTGACAATTACCGTCAGGCGTTGTAGGAAGTTTTCCTACTGTGTCTAATGAGACTTTGTCAAAAACGTCTAGTGGTGTATCCGTAATTAACATTGGTTCTCTTGTTCTTACGCGTACTAGTTTTTGTTCTTGGCAAGTTGGACATTTTCTAACAAATTCTGTTACTTGGTCTTTGATACCAGGCCAAAAGAATTTTTCACGTATTCTTCGATAAGTTTTTGTGACTCCTTTATGTCCTCCTATTTTGCTATTATGGTATTCCTTGATTATATCTTCGCGAATTTCTTCTTTTGGAATAGTAACCTGACCATAACATACAGTAACCTTTATGTTACTATTTTGGAAAATTGTATTTAATATTTGTATTAATCCTCCTCTCATTAATTCATCTGTTAGATCATTTCTTCTGGAAATTCTCAATTCTTTTGAATTTTCTTGTTGTAAAATGAATTTTAAATTTTGTAGGGCATTGGAAACATCATCTTTTAATAATGGATCAAAGTGATTGTGTTTTATTATTAAGGTATAAATGTTATACTGTCCTCGAGGGGTGATTAATATTTGTCCTTTTTGTGGTTTTTTTAATTTTATTTCTTGTGGATCGATAGCTCCGATATCAATGAGCAATCTTCCGATTGGTGTGATAAATTCACAGTCGGCAGACAGAAAATGAACGTAGTTGCTTCGATAGTAGGTTAAGTTCTCTCTGCAACTAAGTATATTTGATGTTGAACTTTCTAATTTGTTGGCCATAGTATTTGAGATATCTGGAGGAATACTATCAATAGATGTTTTTATTTTCGACTTTGTTGTTTGTTCCTTTACAGACTCATTAATTGTCGATTGATCATCTGTATTTTCTTCTTCTGATGAAGACGTTTCTTCTGGTATTGTTGGATGTGTGAAGGGTGTTGATATTGCGAGAGGTCGATCGAAGCTTAAAGGTGTTATCGATCTCTTTGGTTGATCTACGAAAGTTACATTTTTACCCTTGTTGACATTTTCTGTAGTTTGTTTCTTTTCGGTTTCATTTTCATTTTCAATACTTTGGATCATATCAGTTAATTCTTGTATGTCTTTATGAGCATTTTTCAAAATTTCGTTTAGTTTTTCTGCAAATTCTGAATGATTCCCAGATATATATTCATTTGCTGCTTCGTGAATTTCAGGATCATCATCTCCAACAGAAGCATTACGCCAATCTCTTGGTGGTAATTCTTTTTCCATTAACCAATCTTCATGTCTAGCTATTGATTCATCAAATAGAGCAATTGACTTTTCTAATTCTTTTCCTATTTCCTTCCTTGATATTGGAGTTTGATGGTCTTCTTCTGAAGAACTGTCTTCACTTCCACTTATAGGTGGACTTACTATTTTTACTATTTCTTTATTCGCTGTTATTGGTTCTACAATTAATTCATGATGTTCAAAAGGTGCAATGGGTGGTGCGCTTTTTGGAGCATATGGGTCATAGAGAGGTGTAGGTATAATAAGACTAGGTAAAACGCTAGTGCTCTTTTTACAAATAGGCGGTTTCTCATTTTCATCTGAATCGGAACTTGATGAAGTGTTGTCTATAACCTTGGTTTTTGTAGATCGTGGTTGTGTTTTATTTCGTTGAGAGACACGTTGTCCTATTGTGCTTTTCTCTAATATTTTTGTATCTGTAGCTAATTTCTTGGTGGGTTTAATTATACTTTTAATTTTTGTTGGTTGTCGAAGATTTCTCTTCTTTTGTGTTGAAGTGCTAGCAACTCCTGAACTTGTGGATGGAGCTGTAGGTATTTGAGAATTTTTTGATTGTCTTGTTTGTATTAAAATTCTTGCTTGTTTTCTTGCATTTGATTCCTCTGGTATGGATTCAATAGGATTTCGAGATAAAGCGTCTGCGTTATGATTTAATTTTCCGGGTTTATAATTAAATTCATACTCATAATCTCTTAATCTCAATCTCCATCTAACTAATCGTTGTCCAGGGTCTTTTATTGAATTAATCCACTTTAATGGCTCGTGGTCACTAACTAATATGAACTTTTTACCGTAAATGTAGGGTCTAAAATGATTAACTGCATATAAAACAGCTAAACATTCTTTCTCAGTTGTGGAATAATTTTGTTCAGGCGTGTTTAACACTCGGGAAAGATATGCTATAGGTAGATCTATCCCATCTTTATCTTGACTAAGAACGGCGCCTATTGCAAAATCTGAAGCGTCTGTTGTTATCGTAAATATTTTATCATAATCAGGATATTGTAATATAGGGCTCTTGCATAAATTTGATCTTAATTCTTTAAAACTTTCGTCTTGTTCTGGTCCCCATTCGAACTTTACGTTCTTTTTCAATAAATTTGAAAGTGGTTTTGCTTTTGCTGAAAAGTCTTTTATAAATCTTCTGTAGTAGCCCGCAAGACCAAGAAATTGTTTTACGTTTCTGGGTGTTTTTGGTGTTGGAAAGTGTTCTACTGCTTCTATCTTTTTTGGATTGGGTTTGACACCATCACTACTAATTATGTGTCCTAAATATGCTACTTCTCTACACAGGAATTCGCATTTTTCCGGTTGTAATGTTAAATTAGCTTCTTTTAATCTTTGTAATAATCTTTTTACTTTTGTGCCGTGTTCTTGTAAATTTTCGGCGTGGATTACTATGTCATCTAAGTAAACAAATAATTCTACACCTTGTAGTCCAAGTAATACTTGGTCCATTAATCTTTGAAATGTCGCTGGAGAGTTTTTTAATCCCATAGGCATTCGTACGTATTCGTAATGTCCGTGTACTGTTGAAAAGGCAGTTTTCTGTCTATCGTCTGGATCTAATTCTATTTGATGAAATCCACTTGCTAAATCAAAAACCGAGAAATACTGTGCTTGGCCTAATGAATCGATCACGCTAGTGATATGAGGTAGTGGATAAAAGTCACCTACGGTCTTTTCATTAAGGGCTCTAAAATCAATTACTATTCTCCATTTCTTTTTTCCAGTTCCATCTATTTTCTTAGGTATGATGAGTAGTGGAGAGTTATAAGGTGAAGAAGAAGGCTTTATTGCTCCTTCTGATGTCATTCGGTCTATAACCTTGTCTATTTCTTCTTTTTGAGCTGGAGAGAATCTATATGGTCTAGTATGAATTGGGATTTCATCTATAGTTATAATTTTGTGTTTTACTTTGTTAGTTGGATTTAAAGGTTCGCCTGTTAAGTGAAAACTTTCAGGAAACTCTCTTACTATGTCTTTAACATGTTCTTGTTCTTCAGCATTTAGATGATCTAATCTTAAGTTATTAATTATAGCTGAAATTCTATCTATTGGTTGTTCGTAGTCTTCATCTGAAGATTCTTCGTCTGTTTCTTCTCCTGGTAGTGGATAATATTCAAAAGGAATGAGTTCTTGAGGTGGAATTTCTATTTCTACGTCTTCTAAAGTAGTGTTTATTGCAAAAATATGGCAAAGTCCATTATTATTAGATACTATCCCTTCTCCTATTATTATTCCGTCATCTGTTTTAATTAATGGTAAGTAACCTTCTTTTACTTCGTCATTTGACACTTCTATAGGTATTACTTGTCTTCCCCTGGCTTTGATGGTTAATCCTCTTCTTTTATTTTCCTTATTTTCTACTAAGTTTTCTCTAAATTTGATTGATTCTACATCTTGGAAAAACATGGGGTCAATTGGGTTTGTATGAGTCACAATGGAATTATGCCAAAAAGAAATTTCAGCCTTTTCTTGCCTCAGATACTCTCGGCCTAATATACCATCGGAATGTAAAGGAAAATCAGAAGGGACAACTTGAAAAGTTACAGGTTTTTCATTTACTTTTACTTGGACTGTTCCGAGTGGGGTTTTCCTAGAGTCATAGATTCCTTGACTTCGTCTTCAAATACGGAAAGGTAATTAGTTGAATTTCGCAAAATTTGTTTATATACAATTGTATCTATTTCTTTTTCTGTAAGATAATCTTCTTCTCTTTTTTTTTTTTTTTTTTTTGATTTTGTTCTCAGTGCTGGTCCTTCAGATGTTAAAATCTGTTCCTGTGGTCGAATTTATCCACCAACATATCTGTATGGAAACTGTCTTTGTGGAGAATTATTTGCCGTCAACTCAGAGGATGATTAATTTTTGTGGTTTTTCTCACATACATATTACACAACGCAATATTTACACAATTTACACATTTATATGATATCATTGATGTTAAAATAAAACATTTATATCCTTCTGTACTTCTTGTTTCTCTTATTTGTTTACCCCAAAATATTATAATTAATTCAATTGTAAAACTTTATAATAATTTATTCATAATAGTAATTATTTTGTAATTTTAATTTTTAAAGAAAAAGAAGGAATAAGAAATTTTTATATATTTGAGTTAGAGCATGCGCACTTAGTTTTATTTTGATTCATACATATATACACATACATATATATATACATATACATATATATACATACATCAATCTCTTAATATATCTATATATTAATATATTTTGTTTTGATCAAGATTGAATTTTTTAGTTTTAATTTAATGATTTATAATTTTTATGTTTACTTATAAGTGGTTTTATCAGTTATACGTTATTTAAGGTTAACTAATAATTTCAATCATGATTTATTTTTATTAAGTATAGTTCACTGAATAATATTGTGACTATCTTGAACGGTTCTTATTAGATTGTATTTCTGACGTATAGTATACAGCGCTGAAGTATCGAATGACGGTCGAGTCGATCGATAGTTGCGTCGATATACGGTCTGGACACGTTCGAATGACGTACCAGGTCGGTGCGCGTGAAGCGGTTGGGTTGCTACGGTGCGAACGGGGAGTGAGATAAAGAGTACGCGATACATGGTTTCGAGCGCGAGAGGATCGATGGTTGCGGTCGATATACGGATGACGTCAAAAACCTTTGCTGTAGCGTCTATGTTGTAATTGAGGCTTTCTTTAAGAGTAAAACATGATATTTTTTTTTTTTTTTTTTTTTTTTTTTTTTTTGAAATTTTGAAATTTTTGTGGCCAGTCCTCCCTCCTTAAAACTTCCATTGTCCTCAATGGTTTTTAGATATGGGACGGGTTATTTGATCTGCGTCTCCTCATCGAAATTACTTTGTAGCAAATATATAGGTTTTTAATAACTATTATTGCTAATAATAATAATAGTAGTTTAAAAGCAACGGAAATGTAATCCATTGTCTCAGAGATGGAACCCAGGATTGGAATATTCATCTGTGGAGTGAAAAAATTTTTTTTTTTTATTAATATCTTGTTTTTGAAATTGTGTCATATAAGGAATTTTAAAATTTTTATCTTTCTAGGGACTTTCAAATATTATAGTTAATTGTAATTAATTATTGTTTATTGTTAGTAGTATTGTTTGATTCGGATTTTTATATAATTCGCTGTGCTAATTTATCGATATAAATATCTTTCGATATATCGATGAGTGATATCTAAAGATTTATTCACTTTTGGTTCTTTTTATGAATTTTGTCCTTATTAATTATCTTTTTATTAATAATTTATTTATTCTGTTGTTAATTAAATTATCTAATTGTTATTAAATAGAGAACTTAATTATTTACTAGCTTATTTGATGAAAGAATTCGAACGATATATCGATCGATATATCGATAGATATATTGAATTAAGTACTAGTAGTGAAGTCGATAATTTAATTAATTAATTGTATTAATAATTGATTATTAATTATATGCTTTTATTATTAGTGTTATTTTATTATTAACAACTTGTAAAATTTTTTTTTTTTTTTTTTTTTAAATTTTTTTTTTTTTTTTTTTTTTTTTTTTTTTTTTTTTTTTTTTAATAAAGAGGAAAGAAGAAGGCGACCTCCAAATCCCCTTCCTTCATTTTCTTTCGTCTTTCTTTTTCTTTCTCTCTTTTTTTTTTTTGATTATATAATTTTTATTGTTTTGAAATTTAATATGGTGATTACATTGTTATATAACTAATTATGATATTTATTGTTATTTGCATATATATATATACATGTATATATCTAATAGTTTATTTTAGTGTTATATGGTATTAAATAATTTATTTATAATAATATAATATTTAGAGATTATGCTAATGATAATTAATATTTTCATGATTTTTTATTTAATTATAATTAGGTATATATGCATATATATGTACATTTGAAAAAATTTTTTTTTTTTTTTTTTTTTTTTTTTTTTTTACTAGTTGCCATTCTTTGTTGTAATTTTAACATTAATTAATCAAAGAAAGCTTCTGGGAAATCCCAGGAATCTTTTTTTTGTTCCGTTTTCGCGGATTCTGGAATCTCCCAGTTTTCTTGTTTTAGAGTAATTGGTTTTCCAGGGATTTCCCAGAATTCATCATTATTTATTAATTTTGTATGAGAGTTTGGGAATAATTTTTTATTCCTGAAGGGACCGTTACATTGTGTTTTAACATGACCTCTTTGATAGCATAGTTCACAGCAGTTAGTCCATTTGAATAATTTGATTTTTAAAATTGAAGTGTCTTCTTGACACATGACATAAGTTTTTCCTTTGGAATTTGGTTCTTTTTCTTCTTCAGAGAAATAATAAGTTCTGTTTAGAAGTTTTAATATTTTACGCGCAGTGGTGTGTTCACCATCTTTTATTTTTCTCATGTTTCTAGTACTTGCTGTGAAAACATTGTTATTAATTAGATCAGTAACTACACATTCTACATCATATCGTCTGTTATTAGGGGGACCTGTTACATGTTTAATTGAATATTTAGGTTTATTAAGGTTGTATTCAGAGGCCAGTTCTTCGAGAATTCCTTTAGGAAATTCTATTTCATCGATGTTTCCCTTTGGGAATATATCAATTAAGATTAATTCTCCTTGTAGGGGAGGTGATGTTAATACCATTTCTGCCATCTAAAAACATAAAATTGTGTTATTATTCTTATTCGTAAGCAAGCTTTAGTTTGTCTATGTGTTTTTGAAATCTTTGACCCTCATTGGTGATTAAAATTGCGGTATGTTTGTCTAAGATATCCACAATTTCGTAAGGTCCGTGATAATATGGCTCGAATTTACTTTTCTTGACTTCCCTTAGGACATAAGCTTTATCTCCTATTTTTCCTAAAAAGGGTTTAAGTTTCCTATCGTAATTTTCTTTTGAATTTAATTTAGATTGAATGAGATTTTTCGCAGCCATGTTTTTTATTTCCGTTAATCTAGATATTAATTCTACTAAATATGAACCGTACGTTTCTAGTTTTTCTTCTGGGGGAAAGGAGCTAGGGGTTCTGGCTGTTTTTCCAAATACTAATTCGAAAGGAGTGAAGTTTGTTGCCTCATGAACGGATGTGTTATAGGCGAACATGCAAAATGGTAGTAGTTTGTCCCAATCGTCATAATTTTTGGAATATTGTTTTAGAAAATCTATAAGGACTATGTGGCTTCTTTCTAAGCTGCCGTTTGTTTGAGGTCTATATCCTGAAGTTGTTACTTGTTGTACTCCAAAGATTTTTGATAATTTTCTCATTAGTTTACTTATGAATCCTCCTCCTTTATCCGTTAGAATTGTTTTAGGGGCTCCGTATTTAGAGAATAATTCTGCAGCTACTGCGTGTGCTATTGTTGTAGTTGAAACATCAGGGATTGCTACTGCCATACAATATTTTGATAAATGATCCTGCATGGTAAGTATGTGACAATTACCGTCAGGCGTTGTAGGAAGTTTTCCTACTGTGTCTAATGAGACTTTGTCAAAAACGTCTAGTGGTGTATCCGTAATTAACATTGGTTCTCTTGTTCTTACGCGTACTAGTTTTTGTTCTTGGCAAGTTGGACATTTTCTAACAAATTCTGTTACTTGGTCTTTGATACCAGGCCAAAAGAATTTTTCACGTATTCTTCGATAAGTTTTTGTGACTCCTTTATGTCCTCCTATTTTGCTATTATGGTATTCCTTGATTATATCTTCGCGAATTTCTTCTTTTGGAATAGTAACCTGACCATAACATACAGTAACCTTTATGTTACTATTTTGGAAAATTGTATTTAATATTTGTATTAATCCTCCTCTCATTAATTCATCTGTTAGATCATTTCTTCTGGAAATTCTCAATTCTTTTGAATTTTCTTGTTGTAAAATGAATTTTAAATTTTGTAGGGCATTGGAAACATCATCTTTTAATAATGGATCAAAGTGATTGTGTTTTATTATTAAGGTATAAATGTTATACTGTCCTCGAGGGGTGATTAATATTTGTCCTTTTTGTGGTTTTTTTAATTTTATTTCTTGTGGATCGATAGCTCCGATATCAATGAGCAATCTTCCGATTGGTGTGATAAATTCACAGTCGGCAGACAGAAAATGAACGTAGTTGCTTCGATAGTAGGTTAAGTTCTCTCTGCAACTAAGTATATTTGATGTTGAACTTTCTAATTTGTTGGCCATAGTATTTGAGATATCTGGAGGAATACTATCAATAGATGTTTTTATTTTCGACTTTGTTGTTTGTTCCTTTACAGACTCATTAATTGTCGATTGATCATCTGTATTTTCTTCTTCTGATGAAGACGTTTCTTCTGGTATTGTTGGATGTGTGAAGGGTGTTGATATTGCGAGAGGTCGATCGAAGCTTAAAGGTGTTATCGATCTCTTTGGTTGATCTACGAAAGTTACATTTTTACCCTTGTTGACATTTTCTGTAGTTTGTTTCTTTTCGGTTTCATTTTCATTTTCAATACTTTGGATCATATCAGTTAATTCTTGTATGTCTTTATGAGCATTTTTCAAAATTTCGTTTAGTTTTTCTGCAAATTCTGAATGATTCCCAGATATATATTCATTTGCTGCTTCGTGAATTTCAGGATCATCATCTCCAACAGAAGCATTACGCCAATCTCTTGGTGGTAATTCTTTTTCCATTAACCAATCTTCATGTCTAGCTATTGATTCATCAAATAGAGCAATTGACTTTTCTAATTCTTTTCCTATTTCCTTCCTTGATATTGGAGTTTGATGGTCTTCTTCTGAAGAACTGTCTTCACTTCCACTTATAGGTGGACTTACTATTTTTACTATTTCTTTATTCGCTGTTATTGGTTCTACAATTAATTCATGATGTTCAAAAGGTGCAATGGGTGGTGCGCTTTTTGGAGCATATGGGTCATAGAGAGGTGTAGGTATAATAAGACTAGGTAAAACGCTAGTGCTCTTTTTACAAATAGGCGGTTTCTCATTTTCATCTGAATCGGAACTTGATGAAGTGTTGTCTATAACCTTGGTTTTTGTAGATCGTGGTTGTGTTTTATTTCGTTGAGAGACACGTTGTCCTATTGTGCTTTTCTCTAATATTTTTGTATCTGTAGCTAATTTCTTGGTGGGTTTAATTATACTTTTAATTTTTGTTGGTTGTCGAAGATTTCTCTTCTTTTGTGTTGAAGTGCTAGCAACTCCTGAACTTGTGGATGGAGCTGTAGGTATTTGAGAATTTTTTGATTGTCTTGTTTGTATTAAAATTCTTGCTTGTTTTCTTGCATTTGATTCCTCTGGTATGGATTCAATAGGATTTCGAGATAAAGCGTCTGCGTTATGATTTAATTTTCCGGGTTTATAATTAAATTCATACTCATAATCTCTTAATCTCAATCTCCATCTAACTAATCGTTGTCCAGGGTCTTTTATTGAATTAATCCACTTTAATGGCTCGTGGTCACTAACTAATATGAACTTTTTACCGTAAATGTAGGGTCTAAAATGATTAACTGCATATAAAACAGCTAAACATTCTTTCTCAGTTGTGGAATAATTTTGTTCAGGCGTGTTTAACACTCGGGAAAGATATGCTATAGGTAGATCTATCCCATCTTTATCTTGACTAAGAACGGCGCCTATTGCAAAATCTGAAGCGTCTGTTGTTATCGTAAATATTTTATCATAATCAGGATATTGTAATATAGGGCTCTTGCATAAATTTGATCTTAATTCTTTAAAACTTTCGTCTTGTTCTGGTCCCCATTCGAACTTTACGTTCTTTTTCAATAAATTTGAAAGTGGTTTTGCTTTTGCTGAAAAGTCTTTTATAAATCTTCTGTAGTAGCCCGCAAGACCAAGAAATTGTTTTACGTTTCTGGGTGTTTTTGGTGTTGGAAAGTGTTCTACTGCTTCTATCTTTTTTGGATTGGGTTTGACACCATCACTACTAATTATGTGTCCTAAATATGCTACTTCTCTACACAGGAATTCGCATTTTTCCGGTTGTAATGTTAAATTAGCTTCTTTTAATCTTTGTAATAATCTTTTTACTTTTGTGCCGTGTTCTTGTAAATTTTCGGCGTGGATTACTATGTCATCTAAGTAAACAAATAATTCTACACCTTGTAGTCCAAGTAATACTTGGTCCATTAATCTTTGAAATGTCGCTGGAGAGTTTTTTAATCCCATAGGCATTCGTACGTATTCGTAATGTCCGTGTACTGTTGAAAAGGCAGTTTTCTGTCTATCGTCTGGATCTAATTCTATTTGATGAAATCCACTTGCTAAATCAAAAACCGAGAAATACTGTGCTTGGCCTAATGAATCGATCACGCTAGTGATATGAGGTAGTGGATAAAAGTCACCTACGGTCTTTTCATTAAGGGCTCTAAAATCAATTACTATTCTCCATTTCTTTTTTCCAGTTCCATCTATTTTCTTAGGTATGATGAGTAGTGGAGAGTTATAAGGTGAAGAAGAAGGCTTTATTGCTCCTTCTGATGTCATTCGGTCTATAACCTTGTCTATTTCTTCTTTTTGAGCTGGAGAGAATCTATATGGTCTAGTATGAATTGGGATTTCATCTATAGTTATAATTTTGTGTTTTACTTTGTTAGTTGGATTTAAAGGTTCGCCTGTTAAGTGAAAACTTTCAGGAAACTCTCTTACTATGTCTTTAACATGTTCTTGTTCTTCAGCATTTAGATGATCTAATCTTAAGTTATTAATTATAGCTGAAATTCTATCTATTGGTTGTTCGTAGTCTTCATCTGAAGATTCTTCGTCTGTTTCTTCTCCTGGTAGTGGATAATATTCAAAAGGAATGAGTTCTTGAGGTGGAATTTCTATTTCTACGTCTTCTAAAGTAGTGTTTATTGCAAAAATATGGCAAAGTCCATTATTATTAGATACTATCCCTTCTCCTATTATTATTCCGTCATCTGTTTTAATTAATGGTAAGTAACCTTCTTTTACTTCGTCATTTGACACTTCTATAGGTATTACTTGTCTTCCCCTGGCTTTGATGGTTAATCCTCTTCTTTTATTTTCCTTATTTTCTACTAAGTTTTCTCTAAATTTGATTGATTCTACATCTTGGAAAAACATGGGGTCAATTGGGTTTGTATGAGTCACAATGGAATTATGCCAAAAAGAAATTTCAGCCTTTTCTTGCCTCAGATACTCTCGGCCTAATATACCATCGGAATGTAAAGGAAAATCAGAAGGGACAACTTGAAAAGTTACAGGTTTTTCATTTACTTTTACTTGGACTGTTCCGAGTGTAGGTATTTTTATAGGAGCGATTCCAGTAATTTGTATAGCTTCGTCTATCATTACATTTAATTCGGGTTGTAAAACGTCTAATTTTATTAAATTTACGTCAGCACCAGTGTCTACTAACAAGGAAGCCTTTGATTTCAAGAAATCAGGAGATTTTAAGGTTATTACTGGGGATTCTTTGTTGAATCTAGCTTGCATGATTGTTCTTGTTTGCGTAATATCATTACTGTTGCTTGACGCTCTTGTTTTTCTTGACTCGTCGTCGCGTCTGTCCGTCGAGCTTCGTTGGAGTTTAAATTTTTCTCGTTAGTTGGGGCTGGAGAATGAGCGCGTGGGGGCGTTCTAGACCCTCCATATTGGTTATTACTAGGCCCATTCGTCTTTTGAGGAGGTGGATAAAATTGATAAGGATTGTAAGGAATGAAAGGTGGTTGATTAAAATGAGTTGGGTAATAAGGATAGGGTTGATAAAAGCTAGGCATTGGTTGTTGAGCTAGGTTAGGTTGTTTCAAAATGCCAATAGGAGTGGGTGATTGAGAGCGCGAATTTGTTGGTTCTTCAACGGGGTTAAATCGTACTCGTGGACTAGGACTTCTATTCCTAAACTCGTAATTAACATTTTGAGCTCTATTTTCGCTCGGCTGCTGATACCGTGAAACATGATATGTATTATTATATTGATTGCCTTGATGTTGATGTCTAATCTCATATTGTAATGCAGCCTCAAAAGCAGCATCAATAGTTTTTGTATTACGTGCTTCTATTAAACTAGAAATAGCGTCTGGAAGACCTCCAATAAATGCTTCTAGAGCGCAATCAGTTAAAGGTTCTAGCATATTTACTGCTTTGTCCCTACCATACTTTTCTATTAGAGCAGCTTTTGCTCCCGTTACTAAAAGACTTAGTCTATCATAAAATTCGCTTACATTTTCACTTCGAGCCATACGAATAGTGGATATCTCTTGGAGATACCATGTATAAGATTTTTTCGGGGCATATCTTTGTTTTAAATGTTGAATGAGTTGGTCAAGGTTTTCAAAATTTTTGCCATAAGTGCTATCTCGAGCAGCACCTTTTAATTTTGATAATATAAGTTTGATATATTGTTTTTCACAACTAATAGGAATAGTAGTGTCTCCAATAGTTATATCTTCAATAAAATCACGCACAGACATGTTTTTACCATCATAAAAAGGAATATGCATAGTTCCCTGTTGTAAGGCAAAACACTCTGCCATAGTAGTAATCATGGGGTCGGTTGTGTCGTTATCTTCAGACATTTTGCTTATTTGCTTACCAATTTTCATAAAACTACTTAGAATTCGTTAATAATGTCGAAATTAAACGGCAAACCTAAAACACCAGTTATATCTGTGAATCCGGTATATTTAATGGTGTGAAATTCAAGAACGGAGTGATTAATGCAAATATCAGTTTGTCCTGAAGTTTTAATTGTACCTTCTCGAAATGAATGAATTATGGAATAATCTACACCAAAATATGGAATTAATTCTTTTTGTTTAATTAAATTTATAGGTAATGAAGGATCAATGATGAATTTTGCTTCAAATTCTTTAAAGAATTTTGATTTTAATAAGATAAGAGGATATAATTCGTTATATCTTTCTATGAAATAAAAATATGAACTCATGAGGGGTTCTGCTGTGACAATTGCTTAAAGGCTTAAGCCTTCTAGTTACTTTAATGTAATTGTTTCCCCGCCGTGAGTGTCTGACTTGACTCGGCGCGAACTACTGTGGGCTCTCTACGTTAAATCAAGATACAGTAGTTCGTGGTAATTGCAAGCAAGTAAAAAGGAAACTCGCGCAAATTTCAAATTATTTTATTCAATTAAAATTTAGCATAACCACAAAAACACAATAAGAACAATTAATGTTGCAATTGAAACACTTATATAGACAAAATACATTGTCCAATAAGACCTTTGCAATAACCTTAATTAATTATTCTATTTACTAATGATTTAGAAAAAATTTTTTTTTTTTTTTTTTTGTTATGAGAGAACAGTATTGTTTTTTTTTTTTTTTTTTTTTTTTTTTTTTTTTTTTTTTTTTTTTTTTTTTTTTTTTTTTTTTTTTTTATGTAAACAGAGACTTTTATTTAAACAGATTGTTTTAGATTAAATGATTTATTGAGATGAACAATTACTTTAGATAATTGTGCAATGGAAAGTAGAATAATAGGAAGATTATTTAGTTTGATTATTTTTGTATTAATAATCTACTAGTTAAACAATAGAATAGTTTTTATTTAATAAAATGAAATGATCTATGTGTTTTCATAATATATGTGTTTTTCGTAGACTAAATGTCTGACGTTGCTTAGATCGTGCTACTGTGGCCTCGCTATGTAAAGTCAAGATACAGTAGTTTAAGTAATTGCATGCGAGTAAAAAGGAAACTCGCGCGGAATATATTTCTCTTAGAACTTGAAAGTTTTTGAATTTTAATGTTTAAATTACTTTTATGTGATTTATTTAAAACTTGTTTCCAATTAAAATTTTCTTAATTCTTCAAATTTATATCGTTCGATTTGACTTATATACCAATCTATGTTAACATTAATGTCAGAAATATAAAATACTAAACTTTTTATTAGTTTACTACCAACTATTCCTGAAATTGATGAACTTAATCCGGTTTTTATAATGTTGAATTTGAATTCTTCGCATAAAATAGGAATAATGATACTTTCGGAATTATAATTCTTGGATTGAATAAAAGGAACTAATATACTGCCTTCTATTAAATTGAAATCTATAGTAGGATCGAAAAGAAAGTCACCTGATCTATTTTGCAAATAATCAGAATAAATTGTTACTATGTTATTTTTGTAATTGAAAGATAACATGTAAGCAATTATGCAAGTTTAATTTAACAGAATTTAAGAATGTAATTACTTCTTTTGATTAAGCAATGTTTTTGTGTTTGCAACAATTTTTCAAAAAAAAGTCTGAGAATTCTTCTTGTGTTTCTATAGTTTTTACTTCTAATAATTTCTCAGTATTTTCTACAGACTTATTTTGGAATTGTTTTTGAGCTTTCTTTCCACCTCTATTTCTTGGTTTTTTTTTTTTTTTTTTTTTTTTTTTTTTTTTTTTTTTTTTTTTTTTATAATTGATAGTTATTTTGCATAATTATTAAAATTGTTGAAAGAACATTTTGATTTTCTAATTTTTAAAACTTTTGCAAACAACTTGTATAAAATGTAGGTAAAAGGTGTTAAAATTAATTGAACTTATTAAGAGTAAAACAACAAAATATTGTTGTGTTAATTGTAATGTAAAGAAAATTAATTATTAAAGTGAAACAATTAACAGTCCCGCCGCACGGCGTAAACCATCAAAATATTAAGGTTCAATCTCGCCGAAAGGCGTAAAAATAACCTTAACTGTTTCGACGTAATCAATTTTCAATAGTTTTCTTTTAGCATAACAAATTCGCCAAAAGGCGTAAAATGCCACTGCTAAAATCGAAATTCGCCGAAAGGCGTAAAATCAATCAAAATAAAATGTTGTAATGTATTGTGAATGATACTTATTATTTAAAGTGAATTTTTAAACTATTATTTTTCATAAAATAATCGCGTCGATCCAATAATTTTTTATTCTAAGTGTTGTTAATTAATTAACTTGCACCACGTGAATGGAAAGAAAGAGTGTCTCGTAGAACTCCGGACTGCGAGGAGAAACAACAATTCTAAGTGTTAATGTTAACAACTTGCACAATAACCGAGTACAATTCGATCTGCAATTGCCGATTAGAGAAAGAGATAAAATTTCTTTTGGATTAAAATGTTAATTAGATTATTAATTGATAACAGTAAGAAATTAATTTTAAAAGGGTGTCAGTGAGTTAGGAATACTTTGTAAAATTATTTAACAAAAGTGAGAATCCCACCGCTGCCACCAAATCAGCTGTTATGTCCCGAGCTAAAGGCGAGGGTGGTTTTATTAATTGAATAATAAAAGGGAGGATGTTTGCTGATTAGTCAAGTTGGTAAGACTTGACATTTATTTTTAAGTGTGGATTCGTTTGACTTTGAAAGAACTACGGGTTCTCGTTAAATAATTATATGCATATTCCTTTTTATGTAGTATTTATTAACAATTAAAATTTATAAACAATTGATTTTACTTACAATTTTGAAAGATTTGTGTTAATGAAGTTTACAATGACAGGATGCAACCAGTTGTACGTAGCCGCTTCACAGGTTGTACAATGATATAAGATTTTCAGTTCGTTTTTAGACACTTTTAGCACTAAAAACAACTATTTGAACAGTTATTTTACAAACTCTAAGTGTTCTTTCTGACACTGTACCTTGATACAAAAGAAAACTTGTTTTCTTAGTGTTTAGAAAGAACTTGCACTAATTTTATAAATTTAAATTAGAAAGAGAATAATTAAATGAACTGTTATACGACGAAAGTATTAATTGAATTGAAGGGTAGTGCAAATTATCTCCTTACAGAAAACAATTTAGCTTTTGTATAACACTGATTCTAACAACTCAACTAAACGATCGAAGGGCCGACTCAACGATACCGTTCGGGCAGAAGCTCACCGGAGTATTTTGACGACTGTTGCTAAGAAAACAGGGGTTTATATACTATAATTTGTTTGTGAAAATTTGTAATAATTACACACTGATAAAAATTTGTAAGAAGCCTGTGTCGGCGTAAATTTGTAAGAAGCATGTGTCGGCGTAAATTTGTAAGAAGCATGTGTCGGCGTAATTTTGTAAGGAGCACGTGCCTTTTATTACACTATTCATGTACATTATTTATTAATAAGATTTTAATAATTATCAACAATGGTTTATTAGCTTTATCGTTTTCTAATAATTGTTTTATCAATAATTGTTCTACTTTTATTGATTATACGTTAAAAGGTATTACAACTAATTATTTTATTTATTAACTACTTATTAATACTTAATGCACTTTAAGAATAGTTTAATGTTAATTCTTCTCTTTACATAGATCTAATTAATCTTTTAATTGATTATTTATAATT